ATACGTGGTCAAGTCGTCCAAAATTTGTTTTCAGAACAAGCGGGTGCCAGCCCATAGTAGTGAGTGGCCCGATCGGGGCGCTATGCAGACGAACAGCTGGATCGCCCCCATGTTGATCGCGCCTGCAAGAAGCATCGCTAGCCACTAAACTTCCAGACAAAGAAGAATCTGCTGCGATAGAATCGTGTTCGCTGTGACTTTCCTCTCTTGGTGGAGCTTGTGGCTAATGAGCGCATTCGGTTTGGTGAAGCTCGCTTCTGGGTCTACGGACATAGTCAGGCCACTGCAATGGTTCGCGTTCGTATTCCTGTGGTGGTGCTGAAGCATGCAGAGATTCATGCCTGAGCTCGCGGCGGCCTCATGCTGATGATGGTGATGATGGTGGTGATGGCGATGACGATGATGAAGATAAGCATGGAAGGGAGGAGGGCGCAGGAACCAGGCGGACGAGCTAAGAGCGAGGGGGAACAAGGTGATTACCAGCAGTGACAGCACGAAGATGGCGAACGACAAGGACGAAGAAAAAGGAGGACGGAAACGGAGGGAGGGTCGGAATCGGAGGCCATCGACACCGGACCGAACCGAATCGGAGGAATCGAATGGAGCCTTCGAAGGGGAACGGAGGGCGCTCCTCCTTCCATCCAGCCCCCTGCCCCCATCCTCCCTCCCCCTGCCGTCGCTCGGACGTCCATTTCCGGTGCATTTTTCGATTTCGTGCGTGTTTTTTGTTGCTCGATGGTCCAGGGTGGTCCTCGAGGGTCCTCGCCGAGAGAAAATGCACACGTCCGAGCGATGCCAGGCCCCTCGGCCAGGGCTCGGGCGCGCGGGGTCTCCGACCACGACCGGGCCTCCTGCCGGTGCCGATGCGTGCTGTAAGAATCCCACCAGCCAGCCCCCTGGGCGTGGGTGGTCAAGGAGGCTCCTCTGCCAACCTCCTTCGTTCCCTTCGGGGAGGGTTACCTCCCCCCGCCCCCTCCCTACGGGACCTGGAGGGGGGGTTCGCGAGGCGTTGGAGCGTCCAAAGATGGCCCAAGATGGCTCTAGGAGGGCTTCAGGGAGCCCAAAATGACCTCCAAGATGGTTCAAGATAGCCTGAGATGGCTCGATCTGGCCCCCAAGATGCTCCAAGAGGCCCTCAGACCGTTCCAAGACGGCTCCGAGTGGCCACAAAGCCTCCCCAGGAGGCCGCCAAGAGGCCCACACCCTTTGAACACGTAAGGGATATCAATGATGTTTGCCTTCTCGCCTTTTCGCTTCCGATGGCCTTCTGAGGCCTCAAGACAGCTTCACGAGGGCCCCCTGAGGGTCCAAAGAGAGGTTTAAGAGAGCCCCAAGACGGTCCCAAGAGCGCCCAAGAACGCCACAAGAGCGCCCCAAGAGTGGCCTAAGAGGCGATTTGTTGGGCTCCCGAGGGGGGAACGTAATTGGAGCTCCCATCTTGTGTGATCGATCTCCTCCAAGATGGCACCAAGAGCGCTCCCAAGTCTCTTAAGAGCGCCTCAAGAGCGCCTCAAGAGCGCCTCAAGAGGGCCCCAAGAGGCAAGAGGCTTCCAAGAGGCTACCAAGAGACCCCCAAGAGGCCCCCCGGGGCACCCACGACGCTCTAAGAGGCCCCCGGGACCGCCAAGAGGCCCCCAAGGCGCTTCAAGAGGCCTCCAAACAGATTCCAAGAGACATCCGAGGAGACTCTGACAGGCAACTCGCCTGGGCATCGTTTCTGGATGGGCTGGTGGGGATATTTCTCATCGCAGCCGCAAGCGAAAGCGCAGGCGGCGTCGAAGGTCGACCCGGGCCACGGCTGGTGGGGATACGCGATATATGCAAATCCGAATGTTCCTAATATTTTCCATATGTTCTGGACCTTCATCTTCCCCTCCACTTCCCCTATTTTCCGCAGTTTCCGTGGAATCGATGATTATTTGTCGGCGTCTTGTTCCTCCCTCCTCACTGGGGAAGGGCAACGCCATGAAGGCACTCAGGTGTGGGTGCGAGTCGTGGGACCCCGAGGGGGAGGCTCCCTTTCGAGCGGGGACCCCCATCCGACAACACACCCCCATAGCCCCTCCCTGGAATTCCACACAGAGAACTCTTTGGGTGGCATAGGTATGGGTGCGATTTGCCAGCTCATGGAAGCAGGGGGGTCTGTCTGACAGCACGCCTCCAGGCCACATCCAGAAAGCTGTTGCTTCCCAGAGCAAGCCGAAGGCAGAAGGAAACCATGATCGAGATGAGACCAGGCAACCGCACGTGAAGTCTGCCCCAGAAGGTCAGATTTCTGCCAGATGTCCTGCTTAACATCTCACTGTTTCATAGCAGTGCCTCTGGCAAAGGGCTGCAGGATGTCGTTTCACCATGTGCAATGCACCCCTGACGTGCAAGTTGCTGTTTCTTAGGCAGAGGTCCAAATGAAGTCTGCAGCCAAGCGTAGGCCCGATACCCGAGCGACGAGACTCGCAAGGGTAGGGCTCGTCAGCAGCCGCAAAACGAAATCCGCTGGCCCCCTTGTGGGGCCACCAGGCTGTAGGCCGAAGCTTCGCAGTTTCCTGTGCCAGTTGCAGCTTCCAGCTTCCACTGTTACAGTTCTGCTTCTTGCTGCTTACTGTTCCTTGTTACAAATTCTGCTTATTGCTGCTTACGGTTCCTTGTTGATGGACCGCGCGAGGGGGGGAGGCCCAAAACGGGAATTTTTACCACGCCCTGAGCGTGTGCTCTGAACTGCTGGGGTGGGCACAAAAATTTCACCACTCACGCAGATCGGCGGGGTCAGGGTCCAAAAACACAAGGGATTTGCCACATTTCTGAAATTCGGTGGCACCCCTCACGCAGATCGGCGGGGTCAGTGGTCCAAAAACATAAGGATTTGCCACATTATTGAAATTTGCTGGCACCCCTCACGTAGATCGGCGGGGTCAGGGTGCAAAAACCCATAGGATTTGGCACATTTCTGAAATTCGGCGGCACCCCTCACGTAGATCGGCTGGGTTAGGGTGCAAAAACAAACGGGATTTGCAGCATTTCTGAAATCCGGTGGCACCCCTCACGCAGATCGGCGGGGTCAGGGTGCAAAAACACAGAGGAGTTGCCACATTTCGGAAATTCAGTGGCACCCCTCACGCAGAGCGGCAGGGTCAGGGTCCCAAAAACACAAAGGATTTGCCACATGTCTGAAACTCGGTGGCACCCCGCACGCAGATCGGCAGGGTCAAGGTCCAAAAACATAAGGGATTGCCACATTTCTGAAATGCGGCGGCACCCCCCACGCAGATCCGTAGGGTCAGGGTCCGAAAACACAAGGGATTTGATACATTTCTGAAATTCGGTGGCACCCGTGACGCAGATCCGTAGGGTCAGATTCGAAAGACAAGCAGGTCCCGACACTGCTTCACGGCGGCGCCCGGAGCTCATGATTTAGCTTTTGCATCCCCCATTCTCCGAGACATGGGGCCGGCGGCATGGGGCGAAGCCCTTACGGATAGTTACACCTGGTATCCAATCACCTCTGCGGACCGGCGGCTTCGGAGGACGTCTCGGGTGCAGCGGCCGTCCCAGGGCGCTCCGGGAAGCTCCGACGGCGCTCTGGAACCGATCCGACGAGACCCCTCTTCCGGGCTGGGCATTGCGAAGCCAGCTCCTGAAAACCCACTCCCAGAGATCCAGCGCCAGAATTCAAACACGCCGCGGGCGCCGAGCCATGGGGCCCTCGTGAGGAGGAGGAGAAGGAGGAGGAGAAGGAGGAGGAGGAGAAGGAGGAGGAGGAGAAGGAGGAAGGGGACGAGAAGGAGGAGAAGGAGAAGAAGGAGAAGCAGGAGGAGGAGGAGGAGGAGGAGGAGGAGGAGGAGAACGAGCAGGAGGAGGATCTCACAACGGAGAGCCCTGCCCAGGGGGTGAGGTCGGGGGCGCCAGGGTCGCGCGCCGAGAGGCACGGCGCGCGGGCCCCCCGGCCCCCGCCGCCGCCGTGGAGTCGAGCCAGCCCCGGCCACCACGGGTTCGGAGGGGGGCCCTGGGGCTTGCCATCGCTCGGACGTCCATTTCCTGTGCACATTTCGGTTTCGCGCGCGTTTTTTTTCGCTCGATGCTCCAGGATGGTCCTCGATGGTTCTCGCCGAGAAAAAAACGCACACGTCGAAGCGATGCCAGGGGGGTCAGCCCGACACAAACCCAACCACCACACGCCCGCAGACCCCATCAGCCCTTTAGGGCGTGAGTCGTTCAGCGAGGTTCCTCTTCCATCTTCCCTCTTCCCTTTCGGCGAAGGGTTTGCCCATCCCCCTACCCTCCCCCCCGGGACCTGGACGGGGTGTTTCGCGACGCGTTGGAGCGTCCTGGATGTTACTAAGGCTTTGGCCACGTTTTGGCCTCCCTGGAGGGGGGGGGCGCGCTAATTGGAACGTCCCCCTCATTTGATCGATCTCGTCCAAGATGGCCCAAAGATTGCCTCCGAGGCTCCCAAGGGTGCCCCAAGATGTGCCCAGGAGGCCCCAAGAGGCCCCCACGAGGCCCCCAGGGTGCCTCAAAGAGGCCCCCAAGAGACCCTAAGAGACCCCCCAGAGACCCCCAAGACGCCCAAAGAGGCCCCCAGGACTGCCAAGAGACCCCCCAAGACGCCCCACTAGGACTCCAAGAACTCTCGAAAGACATCAGGAGAGACTCCGAGTTGCCCTGATCAGAGCAACTCGTCTGGGCATCGTTTCTGGATGGGCTGGTGGGGTTACGCGAAGCGTTTAGAATTGCTTACTGAGGTAATTCGCATCGTACGTGGTGACGAGGCGTGATGATGATGCTGATGATGATGACGATGCAAGATGGATCCGTCAATTTTCTTACGAACCCAGTGCATTCGTTATCGCTCACAGGAAACTGTGCCCAATTCGCGGCGGCCATAACAAGGCACGTCCAATGGCACAACAGCCTTCAAGCACACGCGATGCGTCAACCTTCAAAGGAGGCTTCCTAGAACGAGCGTCATTCTGGTGTTGGTTGGGCAAGCATTCGTTGCAGCCCTAGAGAAATCCAGATGAAGCTCGCGTCTCGTCCTCGATACTTCCTTCTCCCCAATCAATCCCTCTGGTCCCGAAGCTGAACAACATTCCTGTTCGGGGATGTGGGCGACCTCCACCCGTGTCCAAACGTGAATATTTCCCAGGCTCGCCGCTGCAGACTGAGCTCCTCCCGCTTCCTCCCTCCTACGTCGCATGTCGTATTCGCGCCGCGCAAAATTTTCAGGAGGAGTGAGCCACCGTTGGTCGGCGGCGAGCGAGGGGGGGAAGTGAGAAGGGGAAGGCCTTCTCAGAAGGCGGCGGGGCTTCTCAGAAACCCTCGCGCCTTTTGAGAAGTGTTCTGTCTTCGGCGAAGGCTTGAACAACTTCTCAAGAGGCCAGGGGGCTTCCGAACCTTCTCAGAGAAAGCCCGCGCCTTCTCATTTCCCCCCCCGTGTTCGCCGCCAACTTGGGGCGCTGGCACGTGCTTGGCTCGCCAGATCATCGAAACGGGTGCCGCGTGCAGGCCAGCGAACTCTCCCTCTCGCCCAGGTGCCCGGCGATTCTGGCCACGCAGAGTGTGTGTGTGTGTGTGTGTGTGTTTCCTGCTTGGCGCGGGCGGGCTGCCGAAGTCACAGACCGTCCGTCGAGCGTGCGCTCCCGCTGGGGGGCGCGCTCCTCTCCCTCCACCAGCTCCGCGGGAGCGTGGCCGCACCCGCGCGAGCGCTCCGCCGCCCATCTGCTGCGTGTGGGAGCGCACGCTGAGCCAGACTCTCCACCTGTGCCGGCACTGCGCCTCGTGCCATGGACGATGCCCGCCAGTTCGTCCGACCTGGCTTGACACGTTGACTGCTGCTCGCTGCGAGCCCCTCTCTTGTTGCTGTACATCTGCTCTCGTTCTGCCACCTGGCCGGCCGATCGCCACCAGATCTGGAAGAGCCCATCCAGCTCATCAGAGCACACACGCATTTGAACAGGCGTGTTTCCACTCCGCACGGACGTTTTGTCATCGACGTTGCAGCACGGCTGGGAGGAAGGGGACGGGGCGCACGTCTCGAGGGCGCCATGTCGCTCTCGCCTTGGCACCGCGCTCATTCTCTTTGGAGACTGATGCCCCGCTGTGGCGCGGCGCACAGTTTTCGCTCGCCAGCTCGCCGACAGCAAGCAATGTCGCGCGCGAGCGGGAACGGCGCGTCCGTGGCTGGGGCGCACGATCTTCACGCGCGAGCGGGAATGGCACGGCGCATAATCTTGACTCGCCCAGTCGCTTGGGTTGGGGCCGCGCGCGAGCGGGGGAAATGTCGCCCAAGCACCATGCAGATTTCGCATGAAGTGGCGTTCCTGGTGCGGCGCGGCGCGCAATCTGTTCGACCGCCGACCAGCGGCAATGGGACTGCGCGAGAACAAACGGAATGTTGCAGTCGTAGTCGCCCAGTTGCCGCGCCGATGTTGTCTGCCAGAGGCAGTGCTGCTCTGGCGCGGCGCATGCTTCGTCTTCACCGCGCTAATGGAAAACGCGGTCGCGAGCGATAGGGCCACGGCCGGACCTAGGACAGGGGAACATCCTTCAAAAACATGAGACCCTCCGCCGGCCAAACTGAAGAGCATTCGAGGGTAGCCCTCCCCAGGATGTACAAGAACATCCAACAGACACGAAGACCATTAGCGCACCCTCCCCGAATCGAGCTTGATCTGATACCTCGGTCCGACCGTGACCGGAGATCTCGCCGCGGGGCGCAAGGATCTTCTGCAGTCCCGCTCTGACGCCCGTGTGCGCGGCCCCCGTGCTGGGCCCAACCGACGGGAACGAAGAGCCTCCCGCTCGCTGCGGAGAGCGCGCTCCTGGCCGTCGCTCGGACGTCCATTCCCTGTGTTTTTTTGTCGGTTCTGTGCGTGGTTATTTTTTCGCCAAATGATCAAGGATGCTCCTCGACGGTCCTCGCCGAGGAAAACTGCACACGTCCGAGCGATGCCAAGGCTCCAGTCACGGGCATCCGCCCAGGCCCGGGCGCGAGGATCAATCCAGACGAGGCTGACATCGGGAGCCTCTGCGATCCGGCGGCTCCGGGGGACGCGTCGGGCGCCGCGGCCTCCTAGGAGCGCTCCGGAACGCTCCGAGAGCGTTCCATAGGACGCCCTGGAACGGACCTATCCTCGTCCTAGCCGCGTCCAGCACTGTCAAGTTGCGCCAGCACTCGCTCTCACGTCGTGGAAGGGTGGGTGGGAATGGGCGTGGCCCGCCGACTCGCCCAACCCCGCGGACGTGATTCCTGCTCGCAGTCTGCTCGTACTCATGCTCAGACTGCTACGCCTACCCCTCATCCTCATCCGTCCTTTGCTTCATCTTCCTGCTCCTCCCCCCCCTTCACCATCTCATCTTCTCCAGCCGAGCCGCCTCCCAACATCTGAGCTTGGCGATCGCTGGCGCTTCCAAGCGTAGACGTGTTCAAAGTTCGCCGCTCTGGACTGAAGCGATCCACATCGTCCTGTTCGACCCTCCATCCCACATCCTACCTCCTGGTCGTACTTGCGCGTGTAGTCGTACTTGCGCGTGTGCCCATGTTCATATCCCTAACCGCCCCAAACTAAACCCGAACACCCAAACCCTAGACCTTCGATCCAATAACACCCATTGGAACCAGCGCACGCTCCAAAGTCCCCGCAACCCTCTCTTCTTCTTCGGGGGGCCACCTGGAGTGCCCCGCTGCTTCCGTCAGCCCTTGATGCCTCTGTCGAAGCCGCCTGGCTTCTGTGAAAATAAGGAGGTGCTGAGCGCCACTCGTGCCTCTGCCGAGCTCGGAGGTTTGGCGTGGGGCCATTCTGCCACACAACCACCCGCGAGCCACGGGGCAGAAGCGCAAGCGGCGGCATGAAAAGTCGGGAGAGAGGACGCTCTGCATTCTGGAGCAAGCGCCACTCGTGCCTCTGCCGAGCTCGGAGGGCTGGCGTGGGGCCATTCTGCCACACAACCACCCGAGAGCCACGGGGCAGAAGCGCAAGCGGTGGCGTGAAAAGTCGGGAGAGAGGACGGTCTGCTTTCTGGAACAAGCGCCACTCGTGCCTCTGCCGAGCTCGGAGGGCTGGCATGGGGCGATTCTGCTACATGACCACCCGCGAAGCACAGGGCAGAAACGCGTGTGGCGGCAGGAAAAGCCTGCCTCGGCGGCCTGCTCGCACAGGCTGCTCGCACGCCGTGGCTGCTGCGCCCCGGGCCCGTATCAGCTCTCCTCGCACGCGTTGACCTGTCTGCGCATCGATGTGTAGATCCAGAACTTGCCCGCAAGCAGCTTCTCTAACTTGATCATGTTCTCGTCGAGGGTGCTGCACGCATCGTGCGCTGCGGCCATCTTCTCGGCGTCAGCTTCGTCCAGCGACGTCTGCAGGCCTACGATGTAGTTCCTCTCCTCGATTCCAATCGGCTTCAAGTAAAACATGTTCCTGAACAGACTGCCGTCCTTCTTCGCATTGGTCTGTACGAGAAAGATGCCGTCATCGTGCGGCCTGCTCTCGGGCATCCAAGACCTGCGGTCCTCGTTGGACATCTGGTACTCGCGGCCCTCCGCCACGGCTTCGCAGAACTCCCTCGCCATGCGCCTCGCGCCTGAGTCGACCTGCTCTGGAGGCACTGGGTCGACCAAGAACTTGCAATTCCTCCCCACGATCTCGTCGAAATTGTAGCCGCAGAGCTCGGCGAACCCGGCGGAGCAGCCGATCAGCGGGCAGCCCTGGATGCTAGGGTCGGCGATGGTGAACGAAAAGCCGCCGACTCCTTTGGGGTATCTAGGCATGTCATATTCTCCCCTACTACCGTCCACTCCGCTGGGCCCAGAATTACACATTTGGGGGGGAGGATGGCCCACCGGCACCCAGACCACCCGTTCTCGGTGTGTTCCCGGTGGCTTTGGAGGCTCCCTGGAACCGCCCGGGCCAACAGAAGCGTCCAGTACGGCCCCAGACGGCGCCAAACAGATTCCGAGGAGAGTTCCGAGATGGCCCGGGATTTCTTGAGGCGACTCGAAGGCCATAAGGCCACAAGGGACCACGGGCGGCGGCCCACAAGAGGCTCCAAGAGAGGCTCCAAGGCTCTCCCACAGAGACCTCGGGCGGCCCAAACTGTCAAATCCCAATGGTGCCTTTGTTCGATACTTGGGGCCTGTGAAACCCCAAGAGGCCACCGAGATGATTCCAGACGGCCTCGGGAGTCCACGACGGCCTAACAGGCAGAGGAACACCAAATGGTCCCAAGACCCAAGACGTCCCGGGAATGCTCGATAGAGCCCAAGATGCCGCCAATAAAAACACTCAAGAGGCCTCCAGGCGGCCCCCGAAACGATCCAAAATGACACGAAGGCGGGCCAGAGGGCCACAACTGTTCAGAAGACTCCAGCCCCACGAGGCAAGAAGAAAACACACAAAAAACCCTCCAATAATCAACCTTCCAACACCTAACCTTGTAATCCCCAACCCTCTGACCTTGAACCTTCTATACTTCATCCTTGCAACGGTGCACCTTCCAGCCTGCTATTTTCCAGCCCTCGAACCGCAACCATATCAACTTCCAATTGTCCAGCTCCCCAGCCTTCCAACCCCGCACCTTGCAACCTCCCACCTTCCAACCTGTCAGATCCAAGAATTCTCCGACCCCTTAGTCTCCAGCGCCCCAATCCTTACCTTCAAATCCCAAGACCGTCCAAGCTTCAACCTTCCAACCCCTTAACCTGCAACCATATCCCATTTCTACATCAGTGTATGCACTAGCCAATGGCAATGTACTGTTTCTGCCTCTTGCCCTTCTTCCTCAACTGGCGTGTTCAATACGCTATTAGGCGCGACCGAACGCAGTCCTGTGACTTCAACTAGGCCCGAACCTGATCAATGCGTTTTCAACCGCGTCCAAGGGCCTTATACAGACAGCTGCCAAGAATCCCGACACCTTCTGACTATAAAAAATGACCCGAAAAAAACCAAGACGCATGTTACCGCTACAGACAGCTCCAGATACAACAGCTCAATCAGATCTCCATAATGCCCCACATTCTTTCAAAACAGGCCCCAACATAGACCCTCGAAGAGCATGTCGGCTGATGTGGCGTAAACCTAGCAAGTACCTACGTCAAGAAGTGACGAGTTGATGGAGATAGGTCGCGACGGCCATTATTGAACATATTTCGTGCTCAATCATACATGTAATCAAATCGTACGCTCTGTAGTATTCGTTTTTTCATAACCCCCCACCAGAGTCACGCCACATACGTCGACACCGTGGTGGCGGAGCCCTTCCGGGGTTCAATGTAATAACATACGAATCCTGACGGACAATACATGATTTTGGCCCTCTAGGCTTCTTGAACATCGAAGAGGGTCTCGAGACGGCTCTGGAGGGCCTCAAACTTGCCCAATATGGCTCCAATACTGCCCAAAGAGGCCTCCAACACGGCCCAAGAGGCCTTCAGGTTGGCCAAAGGTGAACGTTTTCTTATTCGGCATTTCGACATTGGACGAAAGGGAGGGCGGAGTGCAGGGGGGTCTGGTTCCAGACCTCTGATGCGACTGTTTGCAGCAGTGCGTCCTACGGGTGAGACTCCGCCTTCTCGAAACAAGCGCCAACAAACAGCCAAGAGCTGCTCCAGGGGCGGGGCGAGAGGGGGTGCGAGCGCCCACGCCGATCGGCAAAACCATGAATCAGAAAACGATCACAAGAGGGCTCCAAGAGAGCCACATGTGTTCCTTCATCAGGTGTTGGGAAGATGTTAGCGTTCCCGCCTTCTCGGGCTTCCCACACTCCAAGAGAGCCCCAGCGGCAATCAATATGGCCTCAACACGGGCCACAGGACGGCCCTAGTGGGCCCGAAGACGGCCCAGGAGACTCCCAAGATGGCCCGAACGCCCCAAGGGGGTACCAAAGCGGTCCAGAGAACTCCCCAATCCGTCCCAACACGCCCCCAGGACGCCTCAATAAACACCCAACCAACCCCCAAGCAAGCGCACCATGACAAGGTACTCCGCAAAGGCAATAATGCAACACATCCAGTGCATCCAATCTCACATATGATTGCAGATTCCCCAAGAAGTGCTTGCACTGAGGGCTTCCTGCTTCCCCTCTGAGGAACTGGACCCGTTTGCTGGCTCGGCCCCGTTGCACCCCCCCCGTTGCACCCCGAATTCGCATTGCAAGCTTGCATTTGTTTGCAGTGCATCGCATGGCAGTGCCTTGCGTTGCCTAGTATTGCATGGCGTCGTATCGCAATGCATTGATTTGCATTGTTTAGCATGGTTGTTCCTAGCGTTGCATTGCTTTGCGTTGCCTTTCGATGCATTGCTTTGCGCTACATAGGTTGCACCACATGGATTGCACCACCTAGATTGCACCATCTAAGTTGCACCGCATAGATGGCAACCACTCATACTGATTGTGGCCCGCGCTGGCTAACCTTCTATGTTCCTGCATCATGTTGTAACCCCTCTTGCCCACCAACATAAATCACGCTACATCCGTATACCAAGATTGAGCCCGCCCTCTGGAGCTCCAAAGTAGCAACATCATGCGTACCATCACCAATTTGGGCCTCGTGGATTTCTTGAAAGTCGTGGACCTCGAGACGGCTCTGGATGGCCTTACGACGGATGATGCTCATGAGGCTGTTCAGTGATTTCTGCGTTCTCGCCTTCTCGGTCGCCCGACGGCCTCGGCGGCCTCTAATCTTGCCCCGAGACGGCGCGAGAGGCCAAGAGGGCCCTGAGACGGCCCCCAAGACTGCCCAAGCGAGCCCCAAGACAGCTCCGAGAGACCATTCAGGCTGCAATTGAGGGACCAAAGAGGGCCCAGAGAGGCCCGCAAGACGTCCTCCGAAAGTGCCAGGCGGGCCAACAACATCCGAAGTCGGCCCAACACGCCCCCAGAAGGCCCCAACATGCTCCCAAGAGGCCCCAAGATACCCGCAAGAAGCTTCCGAAAGACTCCCAGGGAGTCCCAAACGCACGAACCCTACGCTTTCTAATTGAAACGAAGAGGGTGATCCACGTCCGAAGCGACGCGGACGTCGTGTTGAGCGGCAGCGTGCTTCGGCGAAACCCTCAATGCGACATATCCCGTGCGTCCAACCATCCACACTGCTACATGTTGTCATGTTGTGTTCCATGACTGAACGTGGTGAACCCCTTCTAGGGCTCCAGAACGCACAGAAACCCAAATAACATACTTGAGGTTGGCTTCTTGGGCTCCTTGAGGGTCGGGAAATGCCTTGAGACGGTCCAAAAGGACCCCCAACAGGGCCTCCAGCAGACCAGCACGGGGCACACCCTGCACAGCAACGCATCCCCGAAGCCTCCAACAGACCACCAAGAGACCCGCCAACGCTTGGGCGTTGCTTCGAACGGGGGTGGCGATACATGGGGTGGGGGGTGGCAGCGAGGGCTGCAGAAACGGACCCCCTCAGGACCCCTAAATGGAGCCCCCCGGGGCCCAAAAGACAGCCTTCAGGGCCCGAAGCGTGCGCCTTTCTCCCTCTCCCCCCCTCCCGTCGCCTCCGCATTAAGCAGCGCCCAAGACGCCACCACTTTACGCGTTCCTGCGTGCCCCCAGCGAGGCGAGAGAATCTCACTCGCTCCAGATCGCTGCTATCGGCTCTCCTCAGCGAAGCCTCTAAGAGAAGTTCCCAACAACACTGCAAGAACCCCCCCAACAAGCATCCAAGAGGCCCCCAAGACTCCCACAAATTGACCAGCCAAGACGCGACATACAATACAAAGGGTCGGCGGATGTGGCGTAAACCTATAGAATTTCAGTCGCCCCAGATCGCTGCTGTCGGCCCTCCTCTCGAAGATGTCGTCGACGCCCTTCTGGAGGGCGTCGGCCCTCTCCTGCGTCCAGTCCCCCTCGAGCATGTTCACGGCTCCTTCACGCTCGCTGCTCTTCTTCTTCTTCGAGACCAAAGAAAAGCAGCAACTGGGCATACTTGTGTCTCGCTGGTTCGGACCTCAATCGGCCCTGAGCTCTCTGTGCGGCGATTCTGCTACACAAGAGCACGCGGTGAAGTGTCCTTCACGGCTATGGTCTGCCCTGTGGGGCATGAGCCGAGCCAGCTGCGGGAACTAATTGTCGTGATTACATGTGCTCCTACGACATGGGCGGAGATTGCGATGACGATAACGTTGATGCTGAGAAGGTTGGGCCCCCGTCTGTGAGGTCTACGAGGACACCAGTCAAGGGAAGCCAGAAACCAGAATGATACATTGGACGTGGTGGGTGCCAGGCATCATGCAAGGTCACACGCGCAAGAACAAATACACGCACGAGCTTCCCAAACCCTCCTTGCGCATGGGTCTTAGCCCTGCACAGAGCTCTCCTTGCGTCACCTTCCTCTCCCCATGTCCTCTCGTCCTCCCCTGGGTGCTCCTGCTCCCCCCCCTGCCCCCCGCGTTTTCTGTGCCCTCCTCTCGCCTGCCCCCGCCCCGCCCGGGGATTTGCTGCCGCGTGCACCGCTGCCGCAGCCTCCCGGCGCCCACGCGGGGCGAAGTCCGACGCCGACCGGAACTGTTCCCCCCGCTCTCGCAGAGTGCCGTCCAATACCCGCCCGTTGTTGTTGCTGCT